ACTGGATGGGTGGCTTTCGTGGTGCCAAAAAGCAACACACAGATGAATGGGGGAGAATAGTCCCCTAGAGTTCTCTTCAGTGGCAGACCCTGCATGTTGCACTATCAACACACCAAACAAGATGCCCCTGCTGGTGCAATAGTGGAGCATCTAGCGTATGTACAACCAGCACATTTTCGATTGGATATAATGCCCGCTCCTAGGGGTGGAACACACATCTGGTGCTGTAGACCCGGCCAACCCCTGTGGCATGGGAGAAAGTAGGCCCCAGTGGGAAGTCACTACAATTGCTTTGTTAGATGGAAATGATGAACCTGCTAAAGTACTGACTAAGCATTTGTGTTTACACCCATAGGTTAAGTTATTACAGCAGTCACTGTCTAGATGTTCTTGCTTCTTGCTGTGTGTGTTTGTATAGTAGATGGAATCCCACTGAAACTGGCCAATAGCCCATGGAAAATAGATGATGTAGAGACCCAAAAGTTCAGTGCCTTGCCACAATGGGAGGAACATCATCTCACACCTATCACCCCCTTCAAGGCTCAGGGACTTTTGCAGAAGAGGTTGGCAGAAAGAATGTAAGAGCCAGAGGAAGGGGTGAAGCATTAACTGGAAATGCCCTCTGACCACTATGCCAGCAAGCTATAGTCACATCTCCTTCCCAAGCTCATCATGGAGTCAAGGGGGAGTCAATTACCCACCCCCATCCAATCGGTCGGCCTTAGTTGCATGTAGGGCGAAGTGCAAAGGATAGATAAGCCGAGAACACTTCTCTCACCATTTTGTGCCCCACCCAATCAGTCAACCTTATCTGCATGTGGGGGGAGGGGCAAAGGATAGATAAGCCAAGAACACCAAGAAGTTCTCTCACCATTTTGCACAGCTTTCAGGAGGTCACAGGATCTGTATTTGAGTGTAGACTTTATACACAGCTGTAAATGTGTGGCATCCTACTCTTCTGTAAAGAAACCCCTACCTTATGCTCTGTTAAAAAAAAAAAAAAACAGAGAAGCGGGTGGGAAAAAAATAGAATAAAATGTTCAATGATATTGGCATTTGACAGGCAAAAAAATAATAATAATAAAATGATTATTATATTTATTTATTTATTGTGTGTGTGCATGAGTATATGTCACAGTCCCTGTGTAGAGGTCAGATGACAATTTGAGGGAATTGGTTCTCTCTCTCCACCATGTGATTTCCTGGGATCGACCTCAGACTTGGTGGTAAGTGCCTCTAAGCTATCTCGCCATTTCTGCTCCCCCATATCAGCTTGTCATCCCACCCCACTTGATCATTAGCAGTGGCTTCCTGGTCATCCTGGAATCCCTTAGGCTTGGCGGAGTACATGGCAGAGAGTAATGGAAATGTTTGCTGAGCTGAATCAATGGAGCGACTCTATTTCCTTCTCTGTTATTATTGTTTTGTTTGGCCTCCTGGGGCATGGGATGAATACTGACCTGCCTAATGATTACCCATCATATTCCACAATTCTTTTGATGTATTTTCTCCCTCTCCCTTCCCTCCACAGCCTGTCATTCATGGATATTTCTCTTGCCCTCATTTCTTTCTGCTCCCTACATGTGGCTGAGTTCAAGTACCAGTCCCCTACTCTCTCCTCATTCCATGTTTCATCCATGGTCAGGAAATGAAGGTCATGGGTGTTATGATCATCATAATCACGGCCAAGTGTACATCAGGAACTTTACTCCATAGCCTATCCTCTCAGACCCTATGCAGTAGGCATTATGACTCCTCACCATGGATGAGAAAAGCAAAGCTCAGAGATTAAAGACACATGTCTAGCTGGAATGTGAGGCCAGTTGATGGTCTCAAGGTCCAGGTGCCATCAAGACATATAAAGAGACATAGTGACATTTAAGATGGAAACAACTAAATGGAAATTAAGATGAACAAAGGAGAGCCATGCTACTTCCTGCCTGTGTTGTTGGTTCCCTAAGTGCCTGCTCTCATGCTGGGGCTGTGTCTCCTGCTCTCTGAGACATGTCCTTGATGTCTCACTGTAACTCCAAACTTCTCCTTCTCTTTCCTACAACTGTTCTCACCCTTCTTCCATCACTGTTGCATCTTTTTCAGAAGCTTAAGGTCATGGAGTCCTTTTCCAGGTGTGTCCAACCCAGGACAGCCATGAATGCCACCCAACACAAAACTAAACTTACCTGAAACTTCACAAGGTATCTTTTTGTTTTGTTTTGGGTTTTACACAATTATTTTGTAGCCTCCAGAGTCTCCATCTTTGAGACTAATGCCCTCGTTAGGCTGCCTGCATAGCTTCTAATGTGTTCTCACTGGGACAGTCTCCTTTGAGTGCTACCATTCCCACACCATCACTGCCCTTCACACGGGTCCTTGCCTTGCATTCTGTCCAAAAGCTACCCTTCCTTCTATATGCAGCTCTTGCAGCCCAGCTCCTCAAATGTCTCTCTTCTCTGCTTTGTGCCCTCTCTTGACTCTTTCACTGGGCACTCAGCACAGGCCCCTGGCATGGCAACTGATCTATTGAGAATTTGTACAGACCCCTTAACAGAGGTTACTGGCCACTGAGATCTGCTTGATCATCTCCCATCCAGCCTCTCACAGAGCAGCTGCTTGGCCAATGGCTGTAAGGACAATGGTGGAGATGGCGGTGCTGGGATCATCTGAGGGACAAGAACTGGGTCACATCAGTATACACAGTCTCTCCCAGTTCCCTACTCTTCTGCTTGATGCCCTTAGACAGGCAGACATTGCTCATAAGCCGCAGCAAGAAATACATCCATCTTGAATTAATACAACACGTCATTGCTCCCTGGCAACCACAGCATCTACTTGTTCATGCTTTTTGCTCTCCAGTAAATGTCAAATTCCAGAGTTACAGCAAAATCCTTAGAGACACAAAGGTTCTCTACTACACTGGGACAATTAGGCAATTATTTTGCAACATGGAGAGACCTGGAGTCCATACCACCCTCTAGTTTCCCAAAGGCCAAGAGGGCCTCCTGCCCATCTATCCCCTGTGACCCCACAAGCTCTGGGTTCTCCAAGTTCCTTCCCTCACACAATCAACCAGAACTGCTTTCCCTGCTTCTTGAAGCTCATCTATTGCCCTTTCTCACAAATATTCCATTTCTTTTCTTTTTCCTTTTCTTGTTTTGGCTTTTGAGACAGGGTCTCCCTGTAGCCCCAGCTGTCCTGGAATGCACTATGTAGACCAGGCTGGCCTTGAACTCACAGAGATCCACCTGCCTCTGCTTCCCAAGTGCTGGGATGAATATTTCATTTCTTTTTGATCCATCAGTTCACAAAATTTCTACCTATTTAACAACAAGAAGGGGGGAAAGCAGGTAATAAAAAAAATACATAACATAGCCTCATCTTGTTAAACATTAACAAAATGTTGTGAAGTAGATATTTCTATGGGGGAAAGTATGGTGGAAAATATAACGAATTATTAACGGTGATCTTATGTGTTTAAATTCATCAATAAGAGTATATTAGTTGCACAATAAAAATTAATGAAACAAAAAAATTGAATTTGGTGTTTCACGTTGGCTTCTTTTTTGGTAGTGAGTCAACAGAGTACCCTGCTACTCTTTTCATCATCAGTAAATTAAGAGCATCATCTCCCTCCAACAAACAAGCCTAACGCTTAGGAGACCAATGCCAGTTGATAACCTCTACCGAGGGTAGTTTCCAACCCCATCAGCGTTGAAAGTACCTACAGTACTCCCATCACTCACCTGCAAAATAGTACGTGACCACTTTTTTGTTTTGTTACCTTTTCCCCTTTTCGTATCCCTAACCAATAATTAGAGTATGCTGGTAAATGTAAATTTAAAGTAGTGAAAAAGTACATAATGTGAAAGGAAAATAAGTATTGAAAGGCCATAACATGGTCTCTGAAAGCAAAGGGATATGGACCAGAATTCAGTCAGGAGCCCAGGTTCACTCCTGATGCCAGCCAAGTCCTCTTCCATGCAGATTTTGCCCTTGGGATCTCTGGTTCGGTTTACTGAACATCTACAGTCATTTATCTACTTTTGCTGCTCTAACAATGAATGAAATTGCACAAGGGCATTGTAGCCAATCATGGAGGATTTACATATTAGAAATTTGTTGGCCTGCTCTGCCAGGGCTGAGGAGAACTATCATCCACTGCTGAACAAATCAGGTGCCAGCCTACCTCTCCCACCTCTCACCTGATCATTCAGTGTGGAGTCACCGAGTGGGAAGGTATTCAATAGTGAATCTTTGCTTGTAGCTCCAAGCTTTTCCTAGAGACCCTTTCCCTGGCTCTTGTTTTTGAAGCTAGTGTTTGCTTTCTGTGACTATCCTGTCAATATGGACAGCTGGGCCCTTTCATACAGTAGTATCCTGGGCCTCTCACTGTATCCTGGGCCTCTCACTGAACTGCAGGTCCAACATGAAGGAAGGAGGACGCGGATGTCCTGGAGGTACTGCACAACACCTCTGCCCATCATCAAGCAAATTTTATTTTATTTTTTTATCTTTATTATTTTTTTGTCTTATTGAGACAGAGTTTCCCTGTAGCCCCAGCTGTCCTGGAACTTGCTATGTAGACCACGCTGGCTTCGAACTCACAGAGACCCACTTGCCTCTACCTCCCAAGTGCTGGGATTAAAGGTGTGCACCACCACTCCTGGCTCAAGCAAATTTTATATATAACACAAGAGCTACAGTTAAGCCTGGCCACAGCAAAATGTTCCAAACGTGAACAAAATCCACTCTGCCCTTTTCAAGCAATACAATAGGTAATTAATTATATTTATATAGATTATCATAAACACACGCTATGCAGAGGATCTGAAATGCCTACTGATTGTGGGCAAAAATGAAGTCCTTTAAGTTCAAATTCTAACAACTAGATCAAAGACTGGACTCGTCATTAAAATTCAAAGTGTGGATATGTTGAGCTTCCCCTGCCCTCCTACCTGTGCTTACCATGTCTTTCTTCACACACAGACTAGATGGATGCTCACCTGCACACCTTTTCCCATCCTTGGCCAGGGTGTAGCCACTGTAGCACTGGCAGACAAAGGAGCCTGGCACGTTCACACAGAGCTGCTCACAACCATGGTCCTCTGTGGCACACAGATCCTGGACTGAAGCAAAGTTGTACCATTAGAACACAACTCTGGCAGGATGTGGCCCCGGTCCAGGGCAATTCAGCTCTATGCCACTTGCTGTAGTAACTTTCAAAAACATTATAAAAATTAATATATAGATTGGTGTAGTGGCTCTGATCTCAGCAGACCACCAGAGAGTACCGACTTCTGGCCTCCCTCTGGCCTCTCTCTGACAGAGGGGCTAAGAATGCAGGGGACTGCCTGAGAGCCCCTGTATTCTGCCTCCACGTGGTGGTGAGCTTCCCCTAATTGTGCCATACTCATCCCCCTACCTGGGATTTTGTGAGGCCCGTCCCAAGGCTCCAGGGCAGATCTGGCTTTGGTAGGTGAAGGCTGAGATCCTAGCAGACAGCCTGAGAGGGTAATTTGCAAACAGAAAACAGAAGCATACTTCAACTTAATTCTCATATCAGAATCATAAACAACAAAAGAAATTCACATCCCAAGATCATAATGAAATAATAATAAAATGGAAAGCCAAGACACTATGTCCCCACCAAACTCCACCAATCCTGTAGAAGAGTTCTACAAGGAGAACCCCTAGAGATAACCCAAGACACTGAATTTAAAAGAACAATCATAAAGATGATCAAGGACTTAATTCTCATATCAGAATCATAAACAACAAAAGAAATTCACATCCCAAGATCATAATGAAATAATAATAAAATGGAAAGCCAAGACACTATGTCCCCACCAAACTCCACCAATCCTGTAGAAGAGTTCTACAAGGAGAACCCCTAGAGATAACCCAAGACACTGAATTTAAAAGAACAATCATAAAGATGATCAAGGAATTTAATGAATTTAAAGACCACCAGAACAAACAAATCAAAGAGCTAAAAGAAGACAGGGGTAAACTTCTGAATGAATTCACAAAAGAGCTAGAAACATTGAAGAAAACTCAGGCAGAAATGAAGAAGGAAGTACAAAACTCAATAAGCCAACTTGAAACGACAGGGGAAAGTCTCAGGGCTAGAATGAATGAAATGGAAAACAGAATATCAACACTGGAGAATAAAGTTTGGACCACTCAAGCAAAGACTATGGAAAATTTTTAAAAAAAAAACAGAGGAATGGAATATGCAAGAGATGTGGGACACCATGAAAAGACCAAATCTACAGATCAGAGGCATAGAGGAAGGAGAAGAATTTCAGGTTAAGGTGTTGGCCAGATCTTAAACAGGATTGTAGAAGAGAATTTCCCAAAATTAAGGAAAGACATCCACATACAAATATAGGAAGCACATAGAACACCAAATAGGATCAAAAAAGAAATTCCCCATGACAGTCATAGTAAAAACACTAAATGTACAGAACAAAGAGAGAATACTGAAAGCAGCCAAAGAAAAAAAACAAGTCACATACAAAGGAAAGTCCATCAGAATTACAGCTGACTTATCAATGCAAACTATGAAAACCAGAAGAGCCTGGGCCAAGGTATTCCAGTTCTACATGGCAATAGAGTCAGCCCAGAATACTTTATCCAGCAAAAGTGTCTATTATAGTTGAGGGGGAAAGAAAAATCTTCCATGATACGAAAAGCCTGAAAGAATACATGTCCACAAAACCAGCCCTTCAAAGAATACTTGAAGCAATACAGAGAGTGGAGAAACAATTATACCCCAGGGGCAATGAAAGAAAATAAATAAAGGTATAATCGAGGAAACACAAAATTAGACAGAGAACACAAACAGCAATCAAAATGACGGCAACCAATACACAACAAATCCACAGCCAACATCATTCTAGATATAGAAAAACTGGAAGGATTCTCATAAAATCAGGAACCAGACAAGGATGTCCACTATCTCCACTCCTTTTCAACATAGTGCTTGAAACTCTTGCTAGAGCAATAAGACAAGAGAAGGAAATTAAAGGAGTACTAATTGGAAAAGAAAAACTGGAAGCATTCCCATTAAAATCAGGAACCAGACAAAGATCTCCACTATCTCCACTCCTTTTCAACATAGTGCTTGAAACTCTTGCTAGAGCAATAAGACAGGAGAAGGAAATTAAAGGAGTACTAAATGGAAAAGAAGAGGTCAAACTGTCACTTTTTGCAGATGATATGATACCATACCTAAGAGATCCCAAAATTCCACCAGAAAACGCCTAGAACTGATCAACACTTTCAGTATAGTGGCAGGTTATAAAATCAATCTACAAAAATCAGTAGCCTTTCTACATACCAATAACAAGCAATTGGAGAAAGAATATAGGGAAATGCTCCCATTCACAATAGCTACAAAAATAAAAATAAAAATAAAAATATCTTGACCAAAGCTGCAAAAAAATAAAAATAAAAAATAAAAAATCTGACCAAAGACACCAAAGATCTCTACAATGCAATTTTTAAATTATTAAAGAAAGAGATTGAGGAAGACACCACGAGATGAGAGGATTGGAAGAATTAATATTGTGAAAATGACCATCCTACCAAAAGCAATATATAGATTCAATGCAATCCCAATCAAAATCCCCATGACATACTTCACAGAATTAGAAAAATTTAAATTCATACAGAAGCACAAAAGACCCCGGATAGCCAAAGCAACCCTGAGGACAAAGAGCAATGCTGGGGGGATTACTATACCAGATCTCAAAGTATACTACAGAGCCATAGTCTTACAAACAGCATGGTACTGGTACAAAAATAGACACATAGATCAATGGAACATCATTGAAGATCCAAACCCGAGTACACGCAATTTCAGCCAGCTGATATTTGACAAAGGTACCAAGAACACATAATGGAGGAAAGACATCATCTTCAACAAATGGCACTGGCAAAACTGGATCTCCACCTGTAGAAGAATGAAACTAGATCCTTATCTTTCGCCTTGCACAAAAGTCAACTCCAAATGGATCAAAGACCTCAATGTGAAACTGGAAACCCTGAAACTATTAGAAGAAAATATTAGCAGTAAGTTACAAGATATAAGGTGTAGGAAAGGATTTTCTAAATGAGACAGCACTTGCTCAGGAATTAAGGTCAACAATCAACAAATGGGACTTCATTAAACTAAAAAGCTTCTGTACAGCAAAAGAAACAAAAGAGTGAAGAGAAAACCCACAGAATGGGAAAAAATCTTCACCAGTGACACATCTGACAGAGGTTTTACATCCAGAATATATAAAGAACTCAAAAAACAAAGAAACGAGAAACCAAGAATGACTAAAAGATGGGCTAAACGCTCTCTAAACAGAGAGTTTTCAAATGAAGAAATAAAGTTGCTAAGAAACATCTCAAAAAGTGTTCAACATCATTAGTAACTAGGGAAATGCAAATTAAAATCACCCTAAAGTATCATCTTACCCCAATCAGACTGACTAGAATCAAGAGAACAAATGATACCAAATGCTGGGGTGGATGTGGAGAAAGGGGAATGCCAATTCACTGCTGGTGGATTGCAAACTCATGCAACCTCTATGGAAAACAGCTAAAGGACTCATCCTATTGTAGAGACACTTGTACAACCATGTTTGTTGCTGCTTTTTTTCACAATAGGTAAGAGATGGAAGCAACTTAAGTGACCCTCAACTGATGAGTGGTTAACGAAAATATGGTACAGTCACACAATGGAGTTCTACTCAGCAGTAAGTTTGCAGGTAAATGGATGGATCTAGAAACTGTTATACTAAGAGAAGTAACATAGACTCAGAAAAACAAACAACGTATGTTCTCCCTTATATATGGATCCTAGCACCAAATCCTTTTAAATTCCAGGTCCTTTTAATAAGATGATGCTGTACAATAGTCCCTTCTGCATGAAATAACTACCATCATCATGACTTCAGCTGAGCCTGATCGCTAAACATCCTCACAATTGGGCTTGTTGATGGTGGTGCTCATTCAGGTTGTCAAGCAGGGTTATCCAGCCACTCTTCCCAACCAACTGTATGTAATTTGGCCCTAATCACACATGGTTTCCTGGATTTAGGAAGGGCTAAAGTATACAATCTGGGGAAGACTAGGAAAAGAAGGCATGACTCATGCTGGGTAAAAGCTTTCCAGTGTGCATACCCTCAGGTCATACATACACCTCAGCAACCCTTCAGTTATCTTGTAAGTAAGCTCAATAAGTTCATTGGTTCCCTAGTAAAACTTTAATCAAACATTGGCTCAACACTAGAACCCTGAAAGGGAATAAGCATTGCTTAACATCCCAAGGAAAAGAAGTCTCACAACAGATGGAAAATTTATTTGTTAATGCTATTATGTTTCATATTTTTTTTTAAAAAAAGAAAATGAGAATGTAAAAGATGTTAAAAGGATATGGGACTGGAGACATTTCCCAAAATAGAAAAAATGAGAAAGCCTAAGGAAGCGATGAAGGTCTGTTTAGGTTTGTTATGATATATAAAGGATGAGAAAAAATAATACACACATAATCTTAAAATTTCTATGGTCATAGTTTAGCCAACTAGTTTAAGGAACAAAATATATATCTAGTCAAAGTTTATCTGAGAATATTTGGTTTTTTATCCAAGCCTTATCTACATAGCACATGATAATTAAAAGTACCAGACTGGTGGAACTAACTTATTGGATGTTTAACAACCACAGTTTGAGGCCTAATGTGGTCAGAGGGACTTAAAGGACAGTTTTTCTCCTTGCCCTCCAGGGTTGACTAAGGTCCAGGGGACTATGAGCATCTCTCAAAATGTCCTGTAACTGTGGTGTGTCACCTGTCCTCTTGTTCAGGGAGGCCATGGAGACCCCACAAGATGGACTTGAACCAGTGTCCAGTCTACAAAGAGGAGGGTCAACTCAGAGGAAATATGTCATTCATGCTTCCAAGTGAAGCCAGCCATGGTCGAACAGGACTTTTGACTTACCTTCACATAGATGGAGCTGGTAAAAGAAAGGAGCCAGGATCTCCTCCCAAACCCATGTGACCCCTGAGGAATAGATCCTCAAATGACCTTAAGTGTAAAAATAAATTGATTTATTTGGGCCAACTGTATGGTCT